GGCTACAGCAGCACTGTACATCCTGCAACACCCTGCCTACTACCACTACTGTCTGGGAGAAACCAGGGATGCAGAGAACATTCTGCAATTGAAGACTGGTGACGCCAGAGACGAGACATATGTGATGGAACAAGAACTGTTGGTTCTAGTGTACGTGCGTTCTCTCTGGCAGGGATCATTGATGATGCACCTCGAAGCTCTGACAGAGCTGGTCATCTGGTTCCACGCACTAGATCCTACCCACTATGCTAGGTGGATACCAGTGCACCTGAAGAACATCGCTGAACTCACTACCAAACACCCAGACGTAGCAAGGGAATTCAGTGAAGGCCATTTCACAGTTGAGAAAACACAGAGGCTGTTCTCTTTAATCCCGATTGACCAGGCACATGAGCAGAATAATGCCTGCATCAAAGGAAACGGTGGCGCAGTTGGGCTAACTGACAATCCTAGTGCTCTTCGTCGCTGGATGGTTTCAAGACCAGAAATTGCAAGCAGCAGACACACGTCATAATGATTAGACGCCAAGTGTACATGCCTCATTTGTGAAAGATGTTCGCTGTCTCTTCGGTATCATAAAGGAGATGGGCAACCCATTCGAGGAGGAGAGTCAGGATCTAAGCATACTGGACACAAAGGACATCGCAGGTCATTCTGCCGTGGAGACTGTGATGAAAGTCAAGAGGATTGGACAAGAGCAGCCCGAGGCTTTCACCAGAGAGTGTCTGTTTGACAGAACAAAGGCAGTAGACGACCCCATTCCTCGTGACAAGCTGAAGGTATTCAGCACTTCCACTCCAAGGAATAAGAGTAAATGTCAGGAACAGTTCGCCTCTATCAAAAATGACCGTGAACTCGTTGCACGCCTGTACATTGGCTGGCAGATGAGGGATGGAAACCTTGAGGAGTTCTTTCGTCACAAGAACCAGGCATGTCCTCCTGCACTGTCTGCTGGTGGAAACCTCTTCACTTGTACTAAGAATGATCTCATCACAGGCTTTGAAGAAATCTTCGACGTCAAGACAGAGACTCCTGTCACTAGCTGTATAGTTCTTGATGGAGCAGCCATCGCCCAGATTGGCTGCATTAAATTAAAGACATTTGGAGAGTATGCTCCAAAGATCTTCATCCCATATGGCAAGAAGACTGCGTGGGCAGTCTGGACGGTACTGCCAGAACTCACTGAGGCGCTGCTGCTGGTTTCCTCTGCACCACGTGACATACCAAACGATGCAATATCCATCATCAAGAGGTTCGTGATCCAGTTGTATGATCGAACCAGCAAATGCACGGACAATGACTCGGCCAGGAGAAAACTCTTCGCAAGGACGAACGATATGCTGCTGATCCCTCCAACGTAGGCAGCTTTAGAGGAACATGTCAAGAGGGGAGTGTTTTGAGGTGGAAATGTGTGGGGTCAGATACTTTTGCCAGCACCAGAGCTCCCTCCACAAAACAACTATGGTTGGTCAATGGCTGGAGGACAGTACACACCACACTAGACCAGGCTACCCGAGGCAGCTCACAGCTGCAATGAGCTGGTTTCTTGCAAGTGCCATTTATTGAGTGTGAAGCTCTGCAAATGCAAGAAGACTGCCCTCTGTGTGTGTGAAGGGGACTGCACGGGACGATGAGCCCACAACATACATGTACTTGTGGCAGTGCTGAACTTGTTAACATGACACTGTTTATGTACATGCATCTTCAGTACCGATATCTACCTAGCCTCAGATACCAGACCATTGAAGAATGTCAGTATACACCTAGCCTCAGATATTTTAGCATGTAGCATGTCAGAATTGTACCCCCGACATTTACAGACTTAAGACTTTTACACACATTTAACATGTTTTCAAAATTGAGTCGATAGTGCCGTAAAACTCACACTCAATCAATCAATCAACATGCTTTCATATAATCATTCCTTTCAAAGTATCTAGTTCAATCTATTATTTTCCTAGACCATTTTTATAAAACAGAGTGTGAAAGATAACATTACTTTGAAATTGGTGCCATTGGATTGTGCACTGAATTGTGCATTGGATAAATTTGTGCATTAGAATTTTAGATTTGTGTCTTTGATTTAAATTTGTGCATTAGAATTGTGCATTAGATTGTGCATTGAATTGTGAAATTGGTATCATAGGATTCCTTGCCC